CAGATTAACATACAAATAGACGAACAGACGGACAGAGACACAGATAGACAGACAAATGGCCTGACGGATACACGAATAGATGGATGAATAGAGAGACAGATGAACAGTTTATCATACAAATAGACAAACAGACGGACAGAGAGACAGATAGACAGACAGACAGATGGCCAGACGGATACACGAATAGACGGATGAATAGAGACAGATGAACGGTTTATCCTACAAATAGACGAACAGACGGACAGAGATACAGACAAACAGACAGATGGCCAGACTGATAGAGAGATAGACGAATGAATAGGGAGACAGATGAACAAATTGACATACCAATAGACAAACAGACGGACAGAGAGACAGATAGACAGACGGGATTAGATTGCGAGAGAAGGGAACTTGCGTGGCCGGCCGGTGGTTGTGACGCCGGTGGAGGTCGAGGCGCCGTCGGTGGTGCGCACCGTAAAGACATACTGTCGACACACCTCGAGTCCGTTGATGGTTGCCGTGACTGTGTTCCGGTCGCCGATGACCACGGCCGGTATCGAAGCGTCTGAAGTGGTCACTGCATAGCCCGACCCCGTGGACGCCGGCTCCCAGGCCAGGTTGACCGAAGTCGCAGTAACCGACGTGATTCGTACATTCACGGGGTCTGAGAGAGCAGTTGAAAGCGAACAAGCTTGGGTCACAACTCTACATACAGACAGCCAGACAAACAGTCACACTTCGCCTCTCTCCCGGCAACCTCGGTCACATGACCCGCATCGCCTCGTAGGGCTCGAACCCAACATTTGCATTTCGAGGGAAACTGTTTCGTTTGAAGAGATTCGCCCCAGTCGAGGCCGTCTGGGCCTCGATGGAGTTGTATGTGTGTCTGTTGGCATGACCCCGTTTGGGTTGCCAAGACTACGTTAGCGACTTTGTGTAACACGGCTTCCCATTTTGACACAACAGTTGGCTGGACGGAATTCGTGAAGTGTTCCCATCGGAGGGCTGTCCTGCGATCGCGATAGTCTCATTTTAAGCTGTGATCTGTACCATCCTGACAGACATGGTCAAAACGAGAAAGCGGATTTGCTGAAAAAAAGTACCAAATAAAAATAGGCCAATCAATAAGGCTTATCATGTTTGCTATACGGTTTCTCGCTCTTACAATGTCTGTCGTGGGTTGTTTTGGGATCGCAAATGATGGGCGAACTGAAATGAGCACACAAAGACCAAGATGCTGTGGTCTCTATTCTGGTCCCAATCGCGTTTCGAGGGACGGTAGTTGCGTGACCTTATTTTCTTAATTTGGTCATGTCGTGCATGTTTTGCTAATGTCTAATCAGCTTGAAAGGGTAAATTTTATCTTTGGATACGAGTAAGCGTTTGTATGAAATTTCGATTTTTAGATGCAAAACATATGATTAATGTATTATTTATCCCGTCTCTTTGGCGAATAGTCTCCAATTCAACTTTCGAGAAGCGGTTTCAACTCATTTGCATGAACTGCATTCAGGATTGCTGCAAGAAGTAGGACTGCTTTCTTGATGGGCAGTGGTTGAGCACTCGTGGCTTGGAGTAAAACACGATTTTTCAATGGAGCAAATCCACTCAAACATGTCTACTTAATAGAGTTCATCAGTAGTATTTTTGCCAAATCAGCAGTAGTGTCAGAGAAGTAGTGTTATTTTACTAATAACTTAATGTGCCTAAAAGGTTAATTGATGAATTTGACTCCACAATCGGAAAGAAGGCTTGCTGTATTTCGAGTCTGGTATCTCGCCATCACAATGTCTATCACGAGTTTATCAGAGTCGCAAATGATGAGCAAATAGAAATGTGCATTGTAGATCCGAACAGTAACTGGATTTGCAAGGTTGTCTTTAGCCAACTTTTTGGTCAAGACTTCCACTTTGTATTAAGGCGTGTCTGATAACAACATTCGAAGATTCATCGCACAAAAAGACGATGGCTGGTTGCAGCTATTCCTCAGCGAGTTGGCTTCAATACGACGTTCAGGTTAACGCTCCCTAGTTTTGGGGTGAAAACGGGTTGAGCTTTCGTTAGCCAATTCACAGTCCTCATCATACCTTCTACTCATTCTTGCAAAATGCCATACGCTAACACCATTTCAATAAGACTATATGGCTTTATCTTGCTTCTTATATTTAATAATAACACAAAACTAATATATCCACATATCTTTATATGGTTATACATTTTCGTTTTTCCATCATGAAGATACATAAGATGTAAAATAGAGGCGTGCAGTCTTCTCGACTTGGTGGTTGTTAACCTGAGACGTTTGCAAGGATGATTTAAAGCTCCGAGGATGTGTGTTAGCTGATGGACAAAAGCCCAGCTCGTCTTCAACCGAAACGAGGTATGACGTTTTGTGGACTGCGTAAACGTGAACGTCAGATTTACAACCGACATCGACAGTTAACCTACGAATCTGCTCTTTATGAACTTTCATACGAGATAAATGACTCCCCAATTAGCAATGTGCATGTCTCATTGATATCTAATCGGATTGAAAGGGTAAATTTTGTCTTTGGATACGAGTAACCATTTGTATGAAATTTCGATTTTTAGATGCAAAAAATATGAGAAATGTATTATTTGGCCCTTCTCTTTGGCAAATAGTCTCGAATTCAACCTTCAAGAAGCGGTTCCAATTCATTTGCATGAACTGAATTGATAAGCCAGGCCTTCAGGATTGCTGAAAGTAAAAAAAAATATTTTTTCGATGGGCATACGAACGAGTTAGTTCCGTGAACGTAGTTGAGCACTCGTGGCTTGGAGTAAAACACGATTTTGCAATAGAGCAAATCCACTCAAACATCACTTCTCAATTGAATCTATTCCAATAAATTAGAAAAAATCAAGCAAAATTGCATGGGCTTTAGGAGCGAAATTATACAAATCGTGCCGTAGAACTAGA